CCACAAAGAGAGAATGCTGTTGGCTTATATTTTATTTGGTTTCCATTTTCCAGGAGGGCTGCTGCTCCGCCCTGTGTTTTTCCAACCTGTACTGATGCATGGGTTTATTTGGCCCTGGGTACAGAATTTTATACTTCTCCTTGTTGAACTTTGGGAGGTTTCTGTTGGTTCACTCCTCCAGGGTCCCTATAACACTGAGGTTGTGCTATGTAGTGTTATCAACCTCCCTCCAGCCCCAATTTAGTATCATTCACAAATTTGAAGGTGAATTTATTATCATCATCCAGATTATTGGTAAAGATATTAAAGAGCATTGGCTCCAGAGTCAGCCTCTGGAGTACTTATTACCTACCAGAAGCTACCTGTTGAGCCATTACTGCTACATTTCGATTCTGGTGATCCAGCCTATTTTCCACCCATGTATCTCTCTGTCTGCTCAGCCTGTACTTCCCTGGCTTACAGGTAAGAATGTTGTAAATCAAAAGCCTGACTACAGTTAAACTCTATTGCATCCACTACCTTCCTTTTGATCATTTAACTAATTGTTTCATCATAGAGTCAATCAGGGTGACGAAGCACAATCCAGTTTCCTGGATCCTCCTTGATTTCATCAAAGTTGAGTTAGCCTTCTATTTGTCAGGGACCTCTTGATTTTTTCTAAGCAATAGATAGTAGTGTAATGAATACATTGACCAACTATTTCAGCACCCTGAAATGAACCCCATTTGGCTTCAAGGATTGGAATTACTCTTCAGGGTAATTGCTAATACTCTAAGTAATTCCCTAACCTGTCAATATGCTTCTGTTGACTTTGCCAGTGAAATCTGGCACACACAAAAAAAGAAAAGATGTTGAAGGTTTCAGTCTATTCCATGTAGTCAGTTACTAGGTTTTCTCACCATTTGTCAACTCATCGTTCTCACTGAAATTTCATTTGTTGCTGCCATACTTGTAAAATCCCTTCTTGTTACCCTTTGTGTCCCTCACTAGTTTTAGGCATAAATGCTCAAACATTTGGTACTCCTCCTTTGCTGCCTGCTCTTATTTCTTTTGCCTTTTAGTTCATTAAGGGGCTTCTTGCTTAGCCAAGTGGATCTTCTGCTGAAATACCTGGTCTTCATCTGCAATGGGATGGACTTGTTCCTGAGCTCTCAATAAGTTTTCCTTAAAATATTGTCTAGTTGCCTTGACACTTTTCCCCACCATGTCTGCAAGAATATTCTGCCTATCAGTGCTACTGTGTGCAGTAGAGCAAGGGAAGTGATTATTCTGCTTTTATTTGGTGCTTGTTAGACCATATCTGGAATACCACATCCAGCTTTGTGCGCCTCATTAAAGGAAATGTGTTAATAAACTTCAGTAAACCTAATGGAGAGCCACCAAGGTGGGAGCATGTGCATTGTGGCTAGGAGAAGTGGATTTGTTCAGCCTGGAGAAGAAATGGCTTTTGAGCATGCCTAGCCTAAAATCTACAAGGAGGTTGTCAAGGCCCTTTATTAACGATGCCTGATGGGAGACTGAGAAACAGGAGTCATAAACTGAAGCAGAGGAGGCTCTGACTAGATATAGGGGAGAAAAAAAACATGATGATGAAAATAATTAGGCTGAGAAAGGTTGTGCAGTCTCCATCCTTGGAAGGTTTCAAGACCAGACTTGTGTAAAGCCTTGAGTGAGCTGACCCTGCTTTGAGAGGGAGGTTGGACTACAGACATCCCAAGTTGCTTTCCAGCTTGAATGATGCTATGATTCTGAAGACTTACTAAAGTTAATGCACATAGTACTTTTATGCAGTAACTTACTGCCTTTGATTCACATGCTTTAACTTCCCTAAACATTTCCTGATAGCCAAGTGTTAAGGATTTTTCTGAGAATACACTCTGATGCTTTGCAGTAAACAAGCTTTTATTATTTTATTTTCAGTAAGCTGAAAGTATACAAAGACAACAGCATGATGGTGGGATAAGGATAATTTTCAGATCTATTGCTTAATTTGTCCTTCAGGAAAGTTATCTAGGCCTTCCTAGATAGGCCTTCCTATCAGCTGGACATATAGCTGTGAAGATGTGATAATATTATCAGTTTATGTTAGAAAGTTAGAATGCAATTCAGGAGAACTGGAGATTCCTACCACAGATAGTTTTTGTTGGTTAACAAAGAAAATCAATGTTGTAGCCTAGATGGTAAAAACTTCTGATTAGAAGCCTGCATTTCAAAGACACTGAGCTTGTGTAGTTCCCACTGATTTCAGTGGAGCTGGATCTGCTGTCTAACTCTGAAAACAAAGCAGAAATATTTGAATTGTTGCTTGCACATATGACTACCTAAAGCTGTGTATCTAACTTAATTTAAAGCACTTAGCTCTACGTAAAGAGATACTCCTTATGGAGTAGTTTTGTATTTCTCACACAGCAGATAGCAAAGCAAATGAGATTAGAAAGTACTTGGAATCTCTTGAGTGTACATAATTTTTATTTATCATCTACTATATGAGTTCAGTTGGTGGGAAATAGACACACATGGAGATTAGACACATGGACTATGTGTGGCAGGACTAGAGATTTTTGTCCAGAGGTTGTATTTGTCAGCAAGAGGATCTTGATGCAATATTGATCTTGCAAACTACAGTCCATCGAACTATTTTTGTAAAAAGTACTCGGGAATCATTCTTACTTGTTATCAAAATGTCTTCTCCATCTTATGAGTTGCCATAAGGCATTTTAAAAGGTCTCATTTTACAGATAACATACTGTTTCTTTTTAAATTGTGGTCTTGGCTATGAAAATTTTGCAATTTGTTCGGACTGTGTAACATTTTGAAATAATTAATTAATCTTTCTCTAGATATAGGCAAAAATGTTCTATCAGAAGCAGTGGAACTTGTCCCCACTGCAAAAATTCACGTTTGTTTTACTTCCACAGGATTTAAATTTTAGCACACAAAGCAGATTTTGAGGTAACAGTAATTGTTTGTATCCTCATGCCTTGTCTTGAGTGCCTGAATTTTTTCAGATTTTATTTGACAGTGGTGTTATTAAGTACTGCTTTGCCTTTGTATATTTTATTGATGTCCAAACAGAGGAAGAATATACTTGAATCCAACCAATTCAGGTTTTAGCTTTCTTCTGCCTAAGCAGGATTTATCAGGGCAGCAAGATGATTGCTGCCAAAGAGCTCTCTGCATCCAGCACTGAACAGTGTAACTGATTGGTCATTAAATCACTGCGAACTCTCTGCCAGAGTTCAGATTCAGCCTTCAGGCAAAAGAGACAGCACTGTGAATTTCAGTAAAGTCATGTTTAGATATACAAGGCTGAGATCAGTCCTTCAGTTCAGCTCATCAGTCCAGGCATTGTAAATAAGTGTGCAAAAGGCATCACAGGCTTTACCTGGAACATAGCATTGACTCTGCCTGCCTGCCTGCTCATCTTAAAACTTAGACTTTTGTCAACAACATTTTACACTGCGCTTTTTATCATTGTGTGAGGGAACCTAACGTGACATTATCAATGTTGCTGGTCATGCCCAAAAAGCTGCTATAGTTTAAATCACCAGTTCTTCAGTGAAATTTTTAAGAGCCAGAAAAGGCCACAAAAGTTGCATTGCCAAGTGTTGCAGCTTGTGGCCAGGTGCCTGCCATGCAACGGAAATCAAGTTCTGAGCTAGGTGCTAGTGAAATGCATGGGGAGAATGAGGCACTTTTCAGGAATGCTCACCATGCAGCTGCCTGATAGCCCACAGGGACCTGAGGCAAGAAGGAGCAACCCATCCTCCTTATTAAACATACCGTTCTACTATTTCCATTCCCAAGGTCGGATCATCTCTTTCTCACAGAAAAGTCAGAGAACAAGTCCTGTTGTAACAGTGACTGGAAAACTTGCTTGGAACCCCACATTTTCAAATATTACTGTATTTTAACCAACACCCTACTGGCTGTTTTAAGGGAGTATCTCTCACTTTGTTTTCTTGATGTCGTTCTGCTTTTTTGAAATATCTCTGAAAGTAGATTAAATAACTTCTGTCATACGCCATAGTCACTGGCCCGTAGGCAGTGCTCTGGGATAAGGGAGATGTAGATTTAAGTTCAAGCACCAAATTAAGCTGAATAGGGATTTGAACTTGAAAGGAAACTGGTGCACAAGTGCTCACAGATACCCCTTCTTCTTTGGCTCAGTTTTAGGTTTAGACCTGATTGAGCAGTGCAAAGAATTTTCTAAGGCTGTAGTCAAAAAGGAAGATGATTGCTTTGTCCAAGGGTCTGGTGTGGGCTTAGCTACAGGGTCTCAAAAGCACTGAGGCAGGTGTGCATGTGCTGGTAGTCAGCACTGGTTTTGTCACAGTGAGATTAGGAGATGCTCAATCTGTGTTCGCGTTACAAATTATAGTGGAATAGCCATCTGGTCATTTGAAATTTCTTTTGCATTTTCCTATAGCAATAATATTCAAAATTTTGTTCATAAAAGCCATACCTAAAAAATAGTATATTTTTAAACAGCAGATCTGATCACTCATTAAGTCTTACGTGTTAAAATTTCACTAAGGAATTCCTAATGAAAGTAAAAGTATGTAGTCTTTGGTAAAAGGTAGCAATGTAAATCATAAAATCATAGAATAGCTTGGGTTGAATGATCTAAAATTCCATGACCAGAAAATCTGTACACTAATTTTTTATAAAAAATAATTATAATCTTCATTAATTAAATTTAAAGGTTTGGTTGAGTCAATCTCTTGTGTGCCACCACAGTAATGCCTTGGTGATGAGTTTATGAAATTGACATTTTGGGGGGGAATATGGTATTTAATTATTTATTCATTTCATGTGGGACGCTGAGAACTATGCTTTTGTAATCATACATATGCCAAATAAGCATAGAGTGGGATGTCACGGCCTAGGTAGTGAACTGATTAAATCAAACTGGCAGGGAATGATCCAGGGGGATGGAAAGTTCATGCTGCCACCAGGTTAAAGCTGTGAATATCTCCCCCTTAATGGCATTCACACAGGAATCAAGGGAAATGTGTAGAGGGCATGGTGGAAATCTTTGACATGCTGCTGGCTACTGCTGCTCGGTTCCGCATGATGAACCTTCAAGGGGAGGAATTTGTGTGCCTTAAGTCCATCATCCTACTCAACTCTGGTAAGTGGTGTGCTTTGCTGTCACTCGGGTCATTGTGGTTGCTTCTGCATGTGGTTGAATGCTGCTTGTTGGTGCTAATGATGTTTTCATTTTGAGACAGCAGCAATCAAAAGGGGGCTGTCAACATAGATGCAGGCAGAGCCACCAGGCAGGGATGGAAGCGGGCAAACCTATTCAGTGGTGTAGATGGGACCCAGCAGACTAATACAGTAAGTAGCTGGTACACTGCATACAGCTGATTGCGGAGGATGGTCAGAGCAGTGTTTTGAACTAGGTGCTGGCAGGTCTTAAAGCTCTGGTTAAAAGACACTGAAGTAGCTGGAAGCCACACTTAGCACATCCAAAGGCAATGCTTGGTTGTAAATCTACAACTCCTTTTTTGGCCATGGCAAAATAAGGGGAAGTAGTGGCCAAAATGTGGCTGAGTTTATCATGGTTTAGTTTATATTAAAGTACAGGCATCTAAAACTGATGTTGTCACCTTCCACTTCCTTTATAGTTGATGAAATAAGTATTTTTGGGCTGTAATTCTCATTCTGAAGTACAGTTCAAAAATAAGTGGCTAGATAACAAGTGGAGGTATAGATATAAATATGTAAGGTTAGCTGACTTGTATTCTGCATGAGATGGTTGACATATGTAAATTCAAGTCAAGGCATGTGAGAGAAAATTTCTGTTGCACACCAAAGGATCCTTTTCTACTTGAAATGAGAAAAAACTCCAGGAAATTTATATTTAAATGCATAAATAAGGCCCACAATGTTCTGGTGGAAATGATAGAGGTCTAAAGTAATCATATAGGCACCAACATAAAAATTTTAGACTCAATTCTCTGCTAAGTTTTTACCTAATGACTAAAGATGTCAGATTTTCCCAACCCTGAGAATTTACCATCTTGTTCTCCCCTTTTCCTGTTGGGTTTAAACTCATAGATAGTACCAAGCTCTAGACAAAACATATGTGGAGGGCTGTATGTCCTTTTTATTCAATGGTTTAACAGATCCCTTGCCCAAGCTGTATGAAATACAAATTCAGGTAATTCCCACCAAAGGCTAACTCTAAACACAACAGACTTTGCTTTATTATCAGCACTTCTTTATGGAAACTTGGACCTGATCTACTCAAAAAAAAAAAAATCAAGAAAAATGATCTATTTATACAATGAAATATAAAATGTTTCATTTATGTTCTATGAGATACTAATGTGGTTCAGGTTTTGTTGTGATTGTCACCAATTACCAAAAAGTGACATCTAAGGCAAGCACCTGGCATATTAGGAATGAAGGCCTATTGTTTTTATTTTGGATGCCAGGGTGTGACAATTGTAATTACTGCTTGACATTTTACTTTCCTTTCATTGTTCTGATAATTATAACAGAATATTTCCTAGAGTATATGTTCTTCCTGAAAAGTGATGCTCCTCCAGATTTTTAGCTAATATGTTCAAATGTAATTATCCTCTAAAATAAATTTAGAATATGTAATTGATTTATAGAAATACTGAGTTAGAAAAAAAATAGAATCAGAAGTTTGAATAAAACACATTAAATGTTCATGTCTTGAACACGAAGACTTCAAGCCGTGTTGTGAGAGTTTTTGTCCCCCTGCTGTATTTAATATTGATCCAGAAAACTAAATTTGGTATTTAGACAAAACTCTGCCAGACCAGCGAATCTCGCTACGTTAATGGGATTTTTCATTTCAAGATTCCCCTAAGGAAAAATTGTAAAAAAGAAATATAGCAAGCGAAGTCAGTGATAATCAGACAAATTTCCTTCTGCATGTAAGAGAGGTGGGACCACTGAATGAGGCTAGGAGATACTAGGTCTTCATTCCTTCAAGGTTCATATCCAGCAGGTTTGAATCAGTAGTGCTCTGTGTGGTAGAAAAATTAGGAGGCTAAACTGCATTACAGAGATAAGTAGCGTAACTTGGGGTATGTGTAATAGTTGTGTGAGCATTGTTTGGCACAGATATCCTAAAATGTCTTGTGGAGATGTTTTTCTTCATAGAATGTAGCCAGCCTCCTTAGGTAAAGTGTTGGACACAGATGAAATACTATGTGGTCTGAAGCACACGGTGTACATGATGCATATGGAGAGGCTGAGAGAGCCGGGTTTGTTCATCCTGGAAAAGGGAAGGCTAAGGGAAGGTCTAACTGCAGTGCTCAGATAGCTGATGAACAGGTTATGGACAAGCCAGGGCCAGATTATTCTTAGATGTGCAAGAGGAAAAGACAAGCTGCAATGGAGAGAAACCACAGCAAGGAAGATCCTGACTAGATGAAGAGAACAAAAAATCTTCTCAGTGAGGGGTTAAGTGCTGGAACAGGTTGGCCAGAAAAGTGGTAGGATCTCTATTCTCGTTGATACTCAAAACTCAGCTGGACAAAGCTCCGGGCAGCTTGACCTAACCCTGAAGGTACCACTATTTGAGCAGGAGGTTGAAATAGATGACCTCCAGGCCTCCCTTAATCTGATATTTTTTTTTTTTTTTTTGTGATTGCACATGTAAAGATACACAGATCTTCTATTAAAGAAACAGCAGATAAACACACAATGAATTTTTGGCCCTTATGTTATCTGTATTATATATGCGTACAATTAAAGCAGCTGATGTCAAATTATTTAAACAAGTAGAATAATTAATCAAATTGGATCAATTATGCTACATTTCATATTTAAAAGCAGTCTGCATTTGCATTCTAAAGCTTTGCATGGATTTAATTCACTGAGTGCCCACAAACATTTCTTTATTAAATCCTTGGAAATGTGTTAGTGTCTTCACATGAGGTAGTGCTGTTGGACATTTATTTTCTTTTTTTTTGGTAACAACTTTCAAGGCTGTTTAGTATCTTTACACCCCTTTTCCGTGTGATCTTGGGCAAAATGTAAGTGATTTTTTTTTTAGTTTCACTCAGTGTCTGTGGAAAAGATGGGATGTTTTGTTTATAAAGCAGAATATACATTTACGATACTTCTGAATTTTTCCTGAGATATCAAGGCGACAGCATGTCTGTAACAAGGACAACATTGTCTCTAGCTAAATAACAAACCAGAAGGTGCTCCTCTAAAGCTGCAGCAATAAATCTTTCAACTAAAAAGCAAATTTTACTTTCAAAAACCACATTCAGCTCAATAATAAAGGGCTGGTTTTTAAGATTGGAAAATAAGTACTAGAAACATGAAAGGGCAACATGATGCCACATGATTTACTTTTGAGTGTGTCTGGAAAAAGGAGTGGTGTTATGTGGCAAAGCAACAGGCTTTCATTTTGGAGATGAAGATGTAGGTCATGTCTGCCATAGCAGCTGATTTACCTAATTAGTTGGCTGGTTAGTCCATAGAGATGGGAAGATTTAGCTGCTTTTATGCATCCTGTAGACCTCCTGATACATCATTCCGTGTGACTGCTTGTTATTCTATTCTCCTGATTTTTCCAGTTCCTGTTAAATTGTGCTTTTTATTTATTTCTTTATTTTGGGTGTGGATGATTGCATGGTACAGAGCTGAATTTGCTCATAACTCAGCCTGGCTTGCTACAGATCTAGCGCAATGGGGCACAGTGGAAGGGGAAGAAAAACCTTGGGTACTGTTTTGTAAGCCTGAACTCTAAACATAAAGATAGTTTAAACTGGGGTTTATTGTGACAGAAAAGATGGAGAGGACATTGTCCTCTACGGTAATATACAAAAATATATCACTATATATAGTGACGCATATAAAATTATATCACTATATATCAACAGCTGGCACAACAGCGCTGCAGTCCCTGAGGGACCCTGTTCTGCACAAAGCTTTGTGTTATGGGCACAGACCAATAGGCTTTACTGGTTTGCAGGGTAGTGCTTTCTCTACTCTCGCTCCTATTATGTTTTACAATACTGACCTAAGGAAAGAGCTGGAAAACAATCTGGTAGCTATTCAATTTAGGCTTGCTTTCAGCTTCAGAGCTTGGAAAGACCTTTGAGACTGTTAAAACTCACTTTGCTAAGACAATTTTCTCTACTCTTGTTCCAAAGCTATGCTCGTGTGTGTATGTATGTGATGGATAGCTGGCATTTCTTTGGGGGAAATATCTGGTCATTGGCCTGGGGCAGGAGCAATCACTGGGGGCAGGGGGGCAGAAAGGAAAACCAAATGTCATTTTTCTTGGCAGTTATTGACTAGGAATTGCCTGAAGTCTCTATATTTTTGGGGGAATGCTTTTCTTGATTTACGCTTTTTAATAGCTTCTAGACTAGACCTAGGTGAGAAACAATTCCTCCTAACAGATTTTTTCTTTTGCTGGTTTCAAAGGTATGAAAGCAAGGGGTATTGCTACAAGGGCACAATAGCATCCTCTGGCTGAAGTAAGCTGCCCTGGGGGCACTATGGACTTATGAGACTAATGTTTCCTTCTAATGGACTGTGTTTTGCCAGTAATATTTAAGAATCTTGCCCCTACAGGTACCTGCTAAGCTGTAAAGCCTGGTATTGTCAGTAGGCATATGTGAGGGTTGTTAAGAGTCATTCAGCTGAGAAAAGCCCCAGGAGCTGTTTCTCTTTGGTGAATTCATTTCAGTAAAAATAATAATAATCATAAAAAGCTTTGTGAGAAAAGAGGCCATTGTACTATCTATCTGTATCAAATGCAAAGCAATATTCATGCCAAAATTGAGAGCTCTGACTGGCAGTTTTCAAAAGTTGTGTTTTGAGTTACCCTTTTGGCTTTTTTAACCAGTCTCTCTCTCTCTCACTTGCTCTCTCTTTCAGAGACACTCATGCTGACATTCACAAACACAAATTTGTATTTCTTTTTAGTACAGAAGACCCAAAGTCATAAAACCTACTTGCAGGTTACAGTAGTTCTAGGTGTTATGTCCTTGAAGTACCAAAACGATGTGAGGAGGTGAGGTGTGTCAAGAAGATGGTAAAAAAAAAAAATCTCCATTTTCCTGACTGCTAAGATATATGGAAAAATATTCTTGTCTTCAAATCCGATGGTATAGCCCCCAGGCTACAAACAGGCTAGAGTATATATATCTGTGTATGTGTGCATGTTAGTGTGTGTGTGTGTGTGTGTGTGTCTTTTTTGTCATAATATCACTAACTGCACATTGTGGTATATATATGAAGTTTTAAAGAAAAGCAAAATGAAAAGTAATTCCAGAAACCATTTTTTTCCAAGGGCAAAATCCAAATTTCTTCTTGGCTCTGTGAGCTGATACAAAAGGGCACAGGATTTGTCAAGTACGTTATAGGCACAAGACAATGAACATACCATGATCAAGCCGGTTTAATTGTACATACAACCTAAGCTTTTGCTGCCTCAGGACTGGATAATGGTGATACGACCTGTTTAGAGTTATTGGCTCAATCCAGAAGATTAAAAAACTGGTGCTGAATGCAACAGCTGTCTTTTGGCAGCACAGTGCTCCTGTGACCTGATTCACATTGGCTGTATGCTGTCGTCCAGAACAAATTAAAGATAAAAACGTGTGAGAGAGTTTAGATTTTCCCATAGAGAGAGCTGATTTGCTTCATGCACCCAGGGTTTACTACTGTCAAAAGCTCTTATGCCTGGGTTAGCATGTTTTATAGGAGCTGTAGAGGGGCTGATGGAGGGCGAGTTTGAAGGTGTTTTGATCTCTGGAAAAATTTCCTTCTCGTTCAAATCTTCAGGCTGCTCACTTTCAGCAGTAAGCAATGTAAGATGGCTAAATTGTCACAGGTTGTTTTGGTCATGTTTTTTAAAGGAGACCCGGGTTTGCAGGTGAAGGAGCACATCTTTCAAAGCTCTTGCTTGGTTGGGAGGGTTTTGTTGAGGTGTGTGCATAAACAAATGCTGATTTTGTTTGCATGTTTCATGGTATTATATTATCCAGTCCTAGATTGAGTACCAAACCACCAAATATCAAACGTTAAACAGCAGAGAAAAATGCCCAAAACTGCCAAAGGCCTGGTCTGGTCTGTAAGTATTGCAGAGCTCTCAAGGGGCAACAGCATCTCCTCAAGGGTTTGGAGCTGAGGGGCTGAGAGAAAAGTGCAGCCCCAGGGTAGGTCTAGCTGCAAGCTGCTGGTGTCACCTGCCACCTGGCCCAGATCTTGGATGGACCTGGGCAGGGAAGAGGCAACATCTTCCTCCTCCTGCTTTGCCCACAGTGACCAAATCCAAGCCCCAGGGTCATTCAAACCAGTGACCCGGCTGGCAGGCAGGAGAGCTGACACACAGTCTGCTCCTATGGTTTAACACAGCCGAAGAGGCCAGCCATGAGGCGTACCTTGGGCAAGTCTGACGCCATCAAAGTAATTTTTGTCTGTCATTTGTTTGTTTTCTTTCTCCTTCCTACTCCAGGTGTGTACACTTTTCTTTCCAGCACCTTGAAATCTTTGGAAGAAAGAGACTATATTCACCGTGTTCTGGACAAAATCACAGACACTCTGATACACTTAATGGCTAAGTCGGGTCTTTCTCTGCAGCAACAACACAGACGACTGGCTCAGCTCCTCCTCATCCTCTCTCACATCAGACACATGAGGTGAGAGCAACCACACAGTCAGCTCTCCTGTGCTGGTCCTGTGCAAGGGAGGTTTCACAAAAGCACATGCACACTTTTCCTTCAGGGGTGGGCATGCAGACTGTGTGTAGAGCCATTGCCAAAAAAAAAAAAAAAGTCTACTTTCCATAAAGATGTATGGAATGAGTGAAAAACAGTACGTTGGGTTATGGTGTGAAAGGAGTAAACTTTTTGCTCATTTGTTTCTTCTAGTTTTCTTTTCCTTTGCTTCTTGTTTTAATAGTGCTGTAAGCAGTATCTACGTTTAATGTTATGTGCATCTTGTATTCCATTTGAAAAGTACCAAGTAGAATACTAACATAGCAGCAGCCTACTTCTGCAAACTCTAGTCTCCTATAAGATAAGATTTAATAGATCACTTTTATGTAGCCACTTTTCACAAGTGGCCTGATTGCAAATCACTTTAGAAAAGAGATTAGGATCATTATGTGTATTTTATGGATGAGGATAAATGCAGACCTATTAAATCCCAATTTAGAGGACTGTGCCCTTTGCTAAGTAGAGGTGAGGTGTCTGAGGCCCTCTTGTTAGTAGTCACAGTAATGATTCTCCCAAACATAATTGCCTCTTAAAGTAGCTGCTCAGTGGCTGGAGTGTCGACAACATGACAAGTCTGTACAAAGATACAGTATAGATTTTATTTTTATGAAGGGACAAGAGATGTTGTTACACAGATTTTAATCTTCATTATTTCAGTTGATAAAATTACAGTAAGCACCACATCATGGCTACTAAAGCTGAAACATGCAGCTTTTACCTCCTGGGCTGATATACAGGTCTTCAGGAAAAAAACAAGGGGTGTGTGCATGTTGGTTTCTTTCTTTTTTTTACTTGTGTCTTTTTGGTTAATCAACCTTTTTCCTCTTAAGAAGAATTTGTATGATTAAGGGTGTTCCAGATGCACAGTAAAGTTAATTATTGTTTCTATAGTTTTGTGAGTGGATACTATTGCAGTGGGCATTTGCTAACAAATTGGCTGAGGTTATTTTCTGGGAAAAAAATCTGATATTTTAAGTTTTATTATGGGAAAACCAAGATTCATCCCATCCACTTAGTCACAGTGCCTAAATTAGGAGTCCGTGTGCTCTAGGCTACCTTTTAGGCAAAGGCGAGCAAAAGAGTCACCTTTAGAAGGCAACTTGCTCATGGGCAGTCTGAAATGTTCTCTGAAGGTGCCTCCCTCTGCTAACTGTAGCAGGAGCATACAGCAACTGTACTGTTAAGTTAGTTGTTTTGTACAAGGTGGAATTTATATGAACCTAACAAATATTATTAGCTGATAGCTTTTTTTCCCCCCTAGCATATTTAGAAAGTAACCGTTGTTTTGTTACAACCCACAGCAACAAAGGAATGGAGCACCTGTACAATATGAAGTGTAAAAACGTCGTTCCACTCTACGATCTCTTGCTGGAGATGCTGGACGCTCACCGACTGCATGCCCCTGGAGCCAGGAGTGCTGCACCCGTGGAAGAGGAGAACCGGAGCCAGCTGACAACTGCATCAGCTTCATCTCATTCCTTGCAGTCTTTTTATATAAACAGCAAAGAAGAGGAGACTATGCAGAATACAATATAAACAAAAGCCAGCATGTATAATGGTATGAGAAACCCAGCAGCGTACTACCTAGCCCGTGCTTTATTTTGTCTAGAGTGCCACCTATGTAAACACTCCAGTGACAACAGTCACCTGCATTTTCCATTTGAGTGTTTGTCAAGCGCTTGCCTAAATCAATCGTTTATCCTAAATGGAAGACATTTCGTTGCTGTGGATAGCCAGCAAGGTTTGCCAGGCTAACTTGATTTAAAATTTGCAGTGTTTTTATTTAATTTTGCATGTAAATTGGGTAAGTCCTAATCTAAACTAAACACTCATTCTACTATAAATTTATAGGCCATACCACCCATGCGTATTGGTATCTTCACGAGTGGTAGCCTTTGCTGATATCCACCCCAAATTCTGTGCTCGCTTAATCCTTTCCTTGCTTGAAACTTTGAAGCAGTTTGGTAGAGATTCTGGATGACTTTTTTGGGGGGGAGTAAATGGAAAGTTGATTGGCATCTTAGTGTGCCATAGTGAAACTGCACTGCTAGTGGCAGCCTTGGTAGTTTAGGTAGATTCCCACCTCTTTTCTTCCTACAGTAGAAAGGAACCCCTGTCTGAGAATAATACTATTTTACCTTGCTGGCTTACATCAGCAGACCACTCCTTCTCAAGCTCATACTGACCAAACGTTTAGGTTCCCTTGCCATGCCCTCTAGCCAAATTGCATTGTGTGCATTCTATCTTGTCTAATCCTACAAAGCTAAATTGTTCTGTTGCTTGGCAGTGTGTAAATCAAGGGCAAACAGCGGTAACACAGATGATAACCACTCTTAAATCAGACCAGATAATTACAAAAATCATCAGGTCTCAAAAAAAAAAAAGATCTCCACACACACACATGATCCAGCACTATTTTATAAAAAAACCCAACTCCTGTCTTTTGCTTTGTTGTGCTACAAACCAAGGGGTGAGGATGCCAGTGCAGAGTGGGATGGTCCAATCCCATTTGGTAGAGTCTGGCCTAGCCACATGTGGGAGGGCTGGCATCGCAGCCAGAGCTGTAGGCTTTGCATTGCCTTGGCTTTCGTTGGCTCTCATTGGGGCATGCTCAGAAATCCCTGTTAAGAGCCAGCTCACCTGTGACACCAGAACTGGTTAATGAGCCTCAGACATGGTGAAGACTCGGGGACTGCATGTCCAGGAAGATAAATCTGGCTTTCTTCACGCATGTGTGTAACTGTTTTTCATAAGGATTAGTCAGATTCTTCAGACCAACTGTAAATATACAAAAGGTCCACTGATGTCAACATTTTCAGCAAGATGTGAAGGAGAGAGCCTGAAGAAACCCATATCATGTGCTACTCCAAGAAATCCATACTCCGTGTTATTCAAAGTAGGAGTCGGTGCTGCTGTCTGATTGCCTCTATGCTAGAAAATTACACGTCAGGGAACGTTGCTGGGTACTGGAATGCGATTATTACACATGCCAGGGATATTTTATTAGTCTAGTGACAAACTTTGCGTGTGCTATCTGCACTTCTGGTTTACAGATGCAGTTCGGGAGTCAGCATGGACCAGGGATTATTCCAATAGCTGGTTGGAAGTGACCACCCTGCCAGTAAAGACATTTCACAGCACGTGCATAGGCTGCGCCACAGCAGCTCTCCACAGTGCTAGAGAAGGGTTCAGGGATGCTTCTTTTACTGCTATAGTTGAAACCTTTATGTTATGTTAGATTATGCTGATTGGAATATCCTGTAGTAACTAAATATAGGAAATAGCGCAACTAATGCCATACAAGAGTGCCTATGTCTAATTACGCTCCCTGTTACACAAGCAGAGCCTGTGTGCAGCGAGGTCAAGTTACATAGCAATTGTGAAGGCAGCAAGGCATAGGACGAGTTTGTGCTCCAAGTCAAGGATTCGATTCTTTAGTGAATGTACATAATGATGTCTGTAACAGTTGCATGTACATATCCGAGGATACGTGCAGTTTAGAAGCCTAAAGCTAGATGCTATCTACATTTGAGAAAATTCCTCAAAAACTCTGCAAGCCTAAACATGTGAAGCAGTCACTGTAAGTTAATAGGCCTTTTATTGATGCATATTATAGTGTCATTTTTTTTTCCTGAATGTGCTGAAGGATTTGTCTTTTTGTGTATTCAGTAAGAGTGTGTGTGTGTGTGTGTGCTTGTGTGTGTGCAAATTTGGTACCTAAAGGCTTTGGGAGGGCTCCTAGATGCCTTGAAAGAAAATGCACATTTTGTTTTGTTTAGTAGCTGTTTTTCAAATATGTTAGAAAAATCATGAATGCCCTGAAATGAGTGCAGGCTAAGATCTGAGCAGAGCACAGGAATCCCTGCAGATACACTTACGTGCTTACACCATCCTCATTCACTTGTAGCCCAGCGTGCATTAGAGCTGCTCTTTAAATACTGTACGTGCAACTTGGTGTTCTCTACAGCAGAACACACAGATCAAGCTCATAAGCTGCAAGACAAATTGGTTTAAATGAATGCCTCCCTTCCCACAGCCCAGAACAGTTCATTACATTGATTCAAGTGTAAATTTGGCCTAGAGGAAAAAAAAAAGTAGTTGGTTAATGGAGAGCAATTTACAACAGAGGGTCAGATTCTGACGGTACTTACCTAGGGCAAGTACCACTACGTTCTACAGATTTTCCCGGTGAAGCTGGATAAGCGTCATTTGAAGTGGCATGCAGCAGACAGAAGAGAATCATAATGTGTCTTGGAACAGAGGGAATAATCAGTCAGGTCACAATCTTAATTATGAACATGATGAACACCTTCCTAAGCTCACCCCTTGCAAGGAAGCAATTTAGTTTCAACCAGTCCTCCCGTGTTTGTGGTGACAAGAGGGCACCCAAGAAAAACAGTGATTCCTGGTAATACATTCATTTACCTTGGGGCAGTTTCAGGATCTGTGTCACTGACTTGTTCATGAGATTGTAACTGAAGCAGCACCTTAAAGAAGATGGTAAACCTTCCCATAGTTATCTATGAAGATGATTGTCCACATATCAGGCAGCTGAATGTGATACAAAAATGGAAATTGTTTTCATTTGTAATTCTGAATATGCTCTTGTATGCAAACAATTGTGCCTGACATTTGGTCATTGTTATTTCACAGGATGCTATTTTATGTGTGTATATATATACATATATACTTTATATTTGCAGCTGACAAACCAGTACTACCTGAATACCTGGTGCTGGATATTAAATAAAAATATATAACATGTAAAAAAAAAATTTGAAAGAAAACTATTCAAGGCAGCTAATTATGCTTTTACCAAAACATTCATAGCGATGTCTCTGGACAACTAATGAAACAATTATTTTATAATGTTTATATGTGGATTTTTTAAAAAAAAAAAAATCAAAAACCAAAAAAAACCCCTAGAACTATAGGCAATGTAATACCAGCACAAGCCAAACAGAAATAGGCCAGATGGATTTGCTTTGTGTGAAAATATGGTTGCTACTGAATTATTACAAAAAGCTTGGGAGGCAGAAGAGGAAATAGGGTGATGTGTAGCACTTAGCAGTGTCTGAGTTTCCAACAATATGTGAAAGCTACTCTGGTTTGTAGTGGTTTGCACCATGTCTCGATGTTGCAGACATGTCTCAGGTAAAACTCCCAGTTGGGGTAGTAGGATTTGTACTGGGGCAAAATAATTTAATGAGAGGTTCTTGGTGTGTGTTTGTGGTAAGTTTACTATTATGTTTCAGTGACATCTCTTGATGATTTTTCTCTTGCTGTACACTGAGGGGTTTTATAATTTTAAAATATAATTGAAGAAATAAACTCCCAAGGACATTGCAAGGACTGTCAGCAGGTCACTTGGACTTAAAATTGAAAAAAAAAAAGAGAAAACAAAAGAAAACCCAAATAAGCCCCTTCATCCAAGCCATGGTTTGCATTGGAGCTTTCATCCGTTCCAATTGATGCCAACTGATTCCTTAAGAGTTGTGCCAAAAGTTTAAAATTAAACAAGCTACCAGCAATGTAAAAATTCTGCCTCACCAGGGCCTTAATCTTATCACAGGCTTTGGCAGGAACACAGCAAGCCTCTGTTGTGTATGTAATACCCTGCTTTAAAATTAGAATGCAACCCTACCTAAAGCTAATGGGATTTTGTATATAAGGTATTCTCTGCTAAATTTCTGTGAAGTGCATTTCTTACTTTGAATAAAGAGATGGCTATTTTCAATGCTATCTGCAACTGTAATATAGCTTTACAGATAGAAATTCAACACTTGTAACAGAAGGGTCATGGTCACAACGGTCTTGTAATGCAGACCCGTCTTGCTGTCACCTGCAACTATAACATAATCTCAAATTGATGTGAGAATTTTTTTAAATTAATATTTCCCCGATATGAACATCCTACCCTTTCCACTCGCAATTCCCTTTCATCTTTCAAATGTAGATAGCCTTATATCCTGAAAGTTGTTTTCAAAGTGATTGTTGCCCATAAGGGTATTCGGTTTTGCACTGTGTTAAAAAAAAAAAAACAAAAAACCAAAAAAAACAAACACTTGCATTCAAATGTGCCTAAAGAAACAAACAAAAAAAAATTTTAAAAAAAGTATATGCTGCCATCTTGCAAATTAGTATGCTTTGTACTCCTGTGTGCCTATAATTAGAAGTCTGTTTCTTCAGAAAGTGCCCATCGGAAAATGAAGGGATAGACTGCTGGTCATGAGACTCACATTAACAAGCCACTTTATGTATCACTTTATTGTATATACTATAAAACTAATGCTTTTGTGTGCACTATGTAGTCTGTCAATGGAAAGTCCTTTCTTTGGTATAGGCTCAGCTGCCATAATGTATTTGTTGAAGTATTCTGTTCTTTCACTGATGCATATAAAATTATTGATGTCTTTGTTTTGGTGAGGTTTTTTTTCTTTGTTTTGCACCTAAAAAGTTCTAAAGAAGTCTAAATGAAAAACCTGGTAGGCAACCTGGTTGGTGCAAGATTTTTATCAATGTATTTGATGTTGAAATAAAGAATTAACCAGAGCAC